GCAACATCTGTAGGACATAGGTTGGTTAAGATCTATTACAAAGTTGCCAATTTTGATCAAAGGGGTACTCAGTCGTGAAGATGGTAAGATCGAACAATTTTTTTTTTTTTTTCAATCATCAAGATGTAGTACTATTGCTCTTTATGTTGGAAACTTTTGACAATAATTTTGACCATGGCTTTAAAACTAGGTTTAGAAACATTCTATGCAAAGCTTAGATAGCTATCGAAATTCTAGAAACCTACTTTTGATCTCATCTAGCGTTTTTCTTTAACAGAAAAATATTAATTACCTGCGAGTTACTAAAACCATTATTTATACGGTAATTCAAGAAAATGGCTCCTATGGTTATGTCTTGACTGTTTTGCAATAAACTTCCATACTCTTCTTTCATTAGTTTTTCTGGTTCAACTTTGGATTCATCTACATTACAAACAGAAATAGGCATCCAGAGGCTCATCCGTTCATTACTAGTAGCACTCTCTACTAGCTTATCTATGCTTGGCATTGGCACACAATCTTTTGGGCAAACATTGTTCAAATTGGTGAAGTTTGTACATATTCTCTGCTTGCCATTAGTCCTTTTTACAAGTACTGAATTGGAGACCCATTCACAATAATTCACCTTTCAGATGAACCCAAACTTAAGTAATTTTTCCTCAATCACATTCAACCATTCTCCCTTAGAAAACCTCTTTTTCTGAGCTACTAGTTTTTTTAGAGGGTTGGTGCTTAGTATGTGGATTGCCATTAATGGTGCGACACCTAGCAACTTGTTGTATGTCCATACAAAGACGTCGTTATTTTCTTTCAAAAATCCCACTAATTCGGCCTTCTCTTCCAAGCTGAGTTTGATTCCAATCTGGGTCATTTTGGTAGGATCACTGTGATGGGGCACGCTAGCAGCAACCCCCAAAGGTTTACAAAAGGCGAGCCAAAGTTGGTTCTAAAGGCCATGCTTTAGTTTGGCACTTGGCAAATGATGAGAAGCTTAGTTGGGAGCTTAATTAAGTCTTTTATTAGTAGTTTGTTATTATTATTATTATTGTTATTATTATTATTATTCTTAGAACTATTTAATTTTCATCAAGTCTTAGTTGGATTAGAACTTCTAATTAAGATTTCTATTAGGAGTTTTAATAGTTCTTATATATATAAATGTTTGTAAGTTTCATTATTTATTCAGTTAATAATATTCAAATTTTTCCAGCAAGTTTGCTCTTGATTGTGTGAAGCAATCTACCTTAGGAGTGATTCCTAAGGGTGCCTAGGTGTGATTCTTAGGGTTTTTTTTATTCTTCCTTGTCTTCTAAACTAAACTCCTAACCTTCTTTTACTATTCACACAACCTATTCATAGCCAAAACTTTCAAATAAGCCCCTAAGTCCTTAACCCTACCTTAGCCCTAACCTGTTCCACATCACATTGTCATCTGTTTGAATTCTCTCGACATCTTCCCCAAATTCTGTCCTCTGTTTGGCATTATCTAGTTGGTTGTCCATACATTCAATGCCCATCAATTGAACTGCTGGTCTTCTAGTATTATCTTCGGCTCTTTATCCCTGTTCACCTTATTCTTCCTAGGATTTTTGAATGAAGATATGTAATTTTCTAGCCATCTCTTATTGACCCTGAAGGACACTGACCCCTGCAGGAGTTGGTAATTGCATACAAAAATGAGGTTGGGATACTAACCCCTTGTAGCATTTAGTGTTGATCTTCCTATGATAGCATTACAAGAAGAAGGCATTTTCACTACCAAAAACTGAACATATGGATTTACATGCCTTGTCCATCCTCAAACCATACTAATTAATGGCGTGATCACCTTTTCCACTTCTACTAACTAATTATTAAAGCCATAAATTAGTCCATCATACTTCATGAGACATGCTAGATCTATTCCCAATTCTTGGAAACAATGGTAATATAGGATGTCAAAGGCACTGCCTATGTCAATAAAGACCCTTTCAACATATGCATTATCTATCCTGATGGTGGTGATTAAAGGGTCATTTTAGTGAATAACAACCCTATGAAAGTCTGTTGAGGTAAAGATGATAAGCTAATCTCTCCACTTTGATTCTTCAAACTTCCTTTTCTAAGCCTTGCTCACTTGCATTACTTGTCTTGTTTATGCCCTCCATGATTGGGCACTAGTCCCTCCAGCCTCTAATCCTCCTGTTATCATATGGATAATTTTGGTTGCTGGTGAGAGGAAAGCAAGAGAAGGTTCTTGATTATGGTTAACCTTTTTCTACTTTGGTTCTGGTTCCACCCATTACCTCTGTTCTGACCATTTTGTTCGACTTGACCAAATTGCTTGTTTTGTTTAAACTTTTCATCTTAATCATATGGTCTTTCGATCTCCTGGCAAAACTCCTTGACCCCTCGTTCAACAGATACTCAGTTAATATACCCTTTCGAGCTAGACTTTCTAGTTTCATTTTCAATTGATGGCATTCATCAGTGGTATGACCATGATTCTGGTGATTGTCATAATACTTGGTATGATCATACTTTTTCTTAATATGCATCAAAATTTGGTCTTTTGGCATGTTAAAAGGCATGAAGGCTAATTCTGATTGAGAATCATTACCTTAAAAGTTACATTTTTGACCATTTATTCTTCTGTTCTTACCTTGTGACTGTGTCTGTGTACTCAAGGCTTTTCCCTTCCTTTTTCCTCCATTAGTGTCATCATTTGCTCCTATGATTAACATTTGGCATCTTTGACCTCCAATGGGGTCAAAGTCTCATGGGATAATAAGAATTCCTCAACTACAATGAACTTCTTTGATCTCTCATTAACTTCTTTGAAAGTGAGTGGTGGGTGTTTAACCATATTATCATGGAAGCATTTATGTTATAGCTCTTGAATAACAGTTGTTATACCAATGACTTTATCAAACAATTCACATCCAAAACAATGTCGTTAAAACATTTCATGTAGTTTCTCAGCGTTTACCCTTTTCACTAAACAACTTGTGTAAGCTAAGCTATGGTCTTCCTAATCAATCTTCTACTTGAGAACTTGGTTGCAAATAATGTCGCCATTTCGATATACAAGCTAATCGACCTAGGTGGTAGGGTATAATATCAGGTTTTGGCATTCCCTGGAAAAGTAGAAGGGAAAATCTTACACATCAATGCACCTAAAGCATTATGTGCTTGCATGGCTGAATACAAGGCATACAGGTGATCATCAAGATCTTTGGTAGCATCATATGATCAATCTGAAAGACTTTAGAGTTGGTTGGGCAAGGTTCATCAAGAACTCTTCGGCTAAGTGGGGGTGATACAACATTGTAAGGCTCAATCATAGGTCCATTAGCCTTTTGTTGTGCAATACACTTATCTACATTTTCTAGCCTCTTGGCCACTTCCTCTAGGATACTATGCTCAAACGAGGGTCTAGATCGCTCGTTATTCTAAACTTGTGACTAGTCATTTTGTTGTTCATCTTGCTTATTCCCAACTATAGGTTGTGGTTAATTTGATTACTGATTGGGGTTCAACAGGGCAATCAATGGGTCAATTAGGTTGCCTTGGGCAAGTATTTGAGTTAGAATAGCTTGCATAACTTCAAATTATTCTTGCATTGCACCAAACTATGCAACCACTACGCCTTCTGCTGCTATAGCAGCATGTTGGGGCTGGTTCTGTTGGGTATTCTATTCTTAAGGGTGGTTCTTTCCCCCTTTCCAAGAGTGCTTTTTTGGTAGTGTTTAGATGACTAGGTGATAATACTGACTGGGTTGTCGTTTGACCCCAACCTTGCCCATGACTAGGGGTGGGCAACAATCGATTTCGATTGAAATCGATATCGATTTTAAATTAACCAAAAAAAATTTTCTTGAATTTTGAAAACCGAAATTGAACCAAAGTTTTCACAAACCAATCAATTCAATTAGCAATAAAATCGATTCGATTTTGGTTTTTACTAAATAAATATTAATTAATTTTTTTTAATAATATATTATATTTTATCTCATATTTTGTTATATTTATCTAAATTTCGGTTTTCATGAGGCTCATTTTTTATTTTCAGTTTGTAAAAGGTTCAACTGAAACTGAACTAAAATTTATTTGGTTAATATCAATACCAAAACAATAAAACCTAAAAACCGTTGAAACCAAACCAAATTCATTTTTTCGATTTGATTTCTGGGTAACCATTCGGTTACCCACTCGAAGGCCCACCCCTACCCATGACCACATCCCTCCTTGGCCAGTGTGTGTTGTTGCCATAAATGATAAAGCAAAGCGTAAACTTCTACTATCAGTTTCCCACAAACGATGCCAATGTAACTGCATGAGATAACTTAGATAAATAATGGAATAACACAGTAGTAACAACAACAACAAACCCTGACCAGAATATACCTACAAGACCTGATGTTGAACCTCAAGATAAATACTCTGACTCTCAAGTTAGTACATAGGGATTTCAGTGGGAGAAGGCCATTCAACTAGGAAAACTAAGGGTGTAATCAATGTACGTTAGATGTGATGGTTGGGAGAGTATATATAGCCCTCAAAGGCTGCTTTCTAGTTTCTACATGACAAATTGCCTTTTGTCAGTTTTGACTTTTGAGCCACTATAATGTACAGTGGCTCCGTGGAGGTCCATGAAAGTGCTTTAATTCTGGTGTCAAGGCATTTAAAGCAATGCCAGTCATTATGTCATATGATAGAGATGAAGTTGACCTGGAAAGGTAGTGTTTGGCCAGTCAGCCATCCATTCAGGGTTTGGGTGTTCGACCATTCATCTGAAAGCAGTGTTCAAATGGGCTCCTCACAGTTATTTGAATTTAATTCAGTTTGTTACTATTTGTTTGCAATTTGTTTTAAAGAGTTATGTATATATTTAGCAACTGTTGAAGTAGTTTTATAACTGCCATCATTTGTATCTTTTAGAGTTTAAAAATGCAGAATGAAGTGTGTTGCTTCTGCACCTATTCTCCTTAAGTTCTTAGTTTCAAATTCTTCAAGTTTTGATTCATTAGTTGTGGACTTGGTTGTTGCTGGGGTTGTTGGGATTGTTGGTTCAGTTGAGGAATTCCCGTCGTTGATGATGAGCTTACTTATGAAGGTGACTCGACAGCTTGTAATGGTGAGGTTTCCTTTTGCTGGTGCTACTATTGTTCAGCTGCAATTGTTGTAGCTGTTCTTGTTGATGTTGTTGTAACAACTGCAGCCATTGCAGCCGCAGCATTGCGACGGCAGTAGCAATTGCGATGACGACAGCCGGTTCATATAAGAATTCATCCTTACCAATGATGAATTAAGCAGCAACGAACAAAGAAGTGCTGAAACCAAGCAATTTGCGCTGTCCAACTCGACAAGTTTAGTAGATCATAAGAAGCGCACCAAAAAAGAGGGGGAAAGGAAAGGCCGTATAGCCCGGGTCGAGTCTGTTCACTAGAGTATAGTAGAATTCAAGATCTTCCAAGGCAGACCAAGTGCCAAAATCGACAACCTTTGAGTTCGGCGCAGCCGTCAGGAAGTGGTGGCCAACAGTGAACGTCAAGCCTTATCCGTTCACTTTCCGTTGAGAATTTAAGAGCAGCTGTATAACAGAGTTTAGTGAAAATTATTAAATTCGGTTAATTAAAATAAAAATTTTAAGTGATAAATTACATAGTGTTTTTTCAGTGGTAATTAATTTTAATATAATAATTTTGAGGAATAATTGACACATTTGACCTCTACATTACAATAAAGGGCAGGATGGGCCCTCGAAAGCCGAGAGGGTGAAACTCATTAGCCCAACAGAAAAGGCACTGCGGGAGGGGCGAAATATAGATCAGAAAGAAGAAAAGCATGGCCCTATGTCAATTGACTGAATTTTATGAGCAGCCTATTTTGACGTCGTCGTCGTCCCCCATCTGGCCATCCCATTTGGTGTTCAGGCGTCAATGTGAGAGTGCATTAGCAGCATCTAAAATGCAATTTCCTGATAGCTCAATAGGGACTTCGGCAAGTGGCTTGCTTCGGCAAAAGAAAAGATAAGTACGAGACCTTTGTCAATTGACTGAATTTAATGAGCAGCCTATTTTGACTTCGTCGTCGTCCCCCATCTGGCCACCCCATTTGGTGTTCAGGCTTTAATGTTCGAGTGCATTGGCAGCATGTGAAAAGCAATTTCCTGACAGCTCAGTAGGGAGTTCAGCAAGTGGCTTGGTTTCGCAAAGGGAAAGGTAAGCACGAAAGAATCCCAGCTCGGAAAGACTTCGAAAAACACACTTTGGCTAAGTCATAAAGACTTATTTTAATAGTTTTACTTGTTTTGTTTTGTGTTTTTTTCACATAATTAGATCAAGACAAGTCCGAAAAGGAAATCAAAAGGGGCCTTCAGAAAAACTTGAAGGCTGAAGGATGCCTAGTGCCAAGTTGTAAATGTTCCACTTGGGGCAGCCTTAAATAAAGTCTTTATACGGCATAGATTTTGAATTTATTTTAAATTAATTGTTATTGTTTATTTTTTAAAATAAATAAATATTTTTTTAATTTAACTTTATTATCATCTATTTACTTTAATTAATTTTTTTATAACAAAAAGTAACTTTATTTTTTAAAATTTTTTTAAGGGTAATATAAATAAATATATGCAATTGTCTCTAAATCCTTAATTTAGAGAAAAAATCAAAAAAAAATTATTTTGAGAATGAAAGAGTACATTTTTAATTTATATATATACATTTATAACCAAAAAAAAAAAAATAGTCTCTATATTCACATGTTAAAAAATTCTTAAAACAAATACTCGCTCCATCTTAAAATAATTATTATATTTTGATTTTGAGTTCATCTTAAATTAATTGTTATTTTTTAAAAAATAAACAAATATATATTTTTTTTACTTTAACATTATCATCATCTATTTATTTTGATTAATAATCTTATCATAAAAAATTTTACTTTATCTTTTAATTTTTTTAAAATTAATATAAAGAAATACATAAATCATTTCTAAATTCTTGATTAAAAAAAATAAATAAAGACAGTTATCATATGACGGATGAACCATAATGAATCAGGTGGAGGTCCTAACTTAATTTTAAATTTTAAACAAAGATATAAAGTGACCTTTACATGTATTTTTTTTTCTTTTTGGGCGAAATAGATGATAGTCAATAAATAAAAGGCAGTACATTAAGGTCTAGGGAATTCACATACCATAATATCCATATACAGGAACATCCAAAACCCAGCAGGGCAAACATCAAAATAGGAAAATTTTACCTCTACATGTGTTGCTTTTTTTTTTTTTTTTTTGAATAAGTTTTTACAAGGGGCTGAGTCGAATCCAGCTCAGGGGAAGGGGAAGTGCACCGTGAGTGACTGTTGCCACTGCCTCTACATGTGTTGCTTAAAAGAGAAGGTTGAGCAAATAGATATATATTTTCTTAATCAATAAAATTCAGTTTTTCGGTGGGCCTACTGTGGTTTTCGAGTTTGGCCCAGCCCACCGGAAACCAAACTGCATTTTTTGGGTTTCGGACCGAACCCAAACTTCTTAACCCGAAAACCATTTAACCAATCCACTTTTCAAGTTTCGGTTTCCTACTCAGTTAACCAATCGGTTCGATTAAATTTGCCCAGCCTTCCCCAACGCTCCAACGTTTCTACTTCAGCCTCAAGTATCTGCATCATTTCATGAAAATACTACATATAAACAGAAGTAAACTAAACGCATGGAGTCCAAGTGAAGGTGTTGTTTGCTATAGCAATTTTGGGTTAGTGATTATAGTTTCGTCTAAATCACTGCATAATAATATTTGATAAATACCACTTTTAGTAACTGCTAACCATTTTGTGTTTAGTAAGATTTTTAATTTAAAATAGCAGTTAGTTATTAGAGGTCAGTCTGCTAACATATTAAAAAAAGTTTCATAAAGTAACTTTTTACTTTTAACCACTATTTTCCCGAAATGCTAAAAGAGACAGAGATCTTTACCTTCCATTTTTGACTTTGCCAATTTAGATGTGCTTCATCGATCCCTTCTTTTCTGGCAAGCTCTGCTTCTTTTGCTGCACTAATAATAGGAATATTTTGTGCTGAATCAACAGAATCTGCAGTGAACATTTCCAGGAAATTAAATTTTTGCGGCATTACATTGTGACCAATAAATTTATTGAACTTAAAAATTTATAATCAAAAGGTTATTTTCTAAAAGTTCCATACCATTCTCTTGAATCTGCGCCACAAACTCTTCGGTTGAGGACATTCCGCTCTTCTTTTTTGTTCTCCACTGCAAAAACCAAACCGTTAAGTTTTTAACAATAGTATTAGTGCTAAATCAAAATTTCAGATAAGAAACAGAGGCAGAGGTACATTTTGTTGCTTTAACTCCAATTTATCAAATTTATTTTGAAGCTCAGCCAGTTTTGTTGACTGAGTTTGCATCCTTTGATCCAAACAGGCATATTGAGTTTGCGTCCTTTGATCCAAACAGGCAACGTTGCCTTTTAGAGAGTCGATTTCATCCCACAGTTTACTTCCAAAATAAGTCTCCAGTTTGGACTTCAATATCTCATTTTCAGTCTTAGATGCCTCCAGTTCGGACTTCAATCTCCCATTTTCGGCCTTCAAACTCCCATTTTCGGCCTCAGATGCCTCCAGTTTGGACTTCATTTGCTGCTCCTTTAGCTTCAACCCTTTATTTTGATCCACAAGGTCCTGTTTTCGTTTCTGTAACATACAATATAATATATAAAAAAAGCCCAAGACCAAACCCATAAAGTGCAGATCAAAAGAGACAGGGATCTAAGATCTCTACCTTTAGGTTCTCTCTGTATTTTTTATCGGACTGTCTTTTGCTGACAAGAGAAGCTGGTGCCCTAATTTTAACAATATTTCTTTGTGAATGAGGATCCCCAGTGAATATTACCGGAGATATACCTGAATGTTGTTGTGCGATCAGCGACTGTGTTGCTGCCGCAGCCTGATTGCCTTGCCTTTGATTTATGCACGGCTCTAGTAAACATCCATTTGGTCCTGCAGGTTGACCTAATTGTTGCTGTGCCCATGGCTGTGCTCCGGAAGCTACCGGCCCGCCTTGATTAATCGTCGACAGAGGCAACAAACCTGGTGAAAAATCATTTGTGCTTAGCGGTTGACATTGTTGCTGTAGGCACAACTGTGTTCCGAATCCAGCCTGTCTGCCTTGATTTGTCAACAGGCTAGCAAAATATTCATTTGTGCCTGCATGTAGATCAAATTCTTGTGGTAGATTTTGCTCTTCATCACTTAGGAGCAAATAATCTGCAGTATTATCACCCGAATTTACAGCCACAGTCAAAATTCAAAAGGAGTAAAGGGAAAATTATGGAAGCATGAAAGATTTGAAAAATATAAATATATGTTACGAGGAGAAACAAAGATGTACTTATGAAATTCAACACATACCATCTCCATCGACGAGCTGCCAGTTTTCATAACTTTCACTGCCTCCAATGTTGTGGCCCTCCATGGATTTTCTTTACAAAATTTCTCTAGAAATTACTTGGTCACTCCGAGCTTGGGAAGAAAATACTCGCTGTATAATTAACCCAAAATTTATGAGCATTGATAAACTCCAATGCTAGAGTTCGCGCGATCATCTGCTGATCTAGACGTTTGCACAGAATTGCAGGGTTCTCGCTATCATCTGCCGATTGAAAGAGTTGTTTACAGAGTTCGCGCGATCATCTGCCGATACAGACTTTTGTACAGAAAATTTTGCAGGGTTCTGGCTATCATCTACCGATTGAAAACGTTGTTTACAGAGTTCGCGCGATCGTCTTCCGATGCAGACTTTTGTACAGAAAAGTTAACAGAGTTCTGGCTATCATCTGCCGATCTAACCTTTTTGACTCACGAGAATATTCTAATCTTCTACAGTAAATATCGTACAATCTAACCCGGATTGGGTGGGGATTTAATAATTAGAAATCGGCAAGTAATTTCATTAAAGTAAAGCAAATGTACACTTGCAGCCATGCGTGGGGGCTTAATAATTGAATACTCTTTGTAAGAATTCGGTACTCAACCGCAATTTACGCATTGAAAAAGCGCTTGCATGTGGTTATCTTGAATTTTGTTTAAAAGAT